TCGTCTAGCAATGGGGTAGGGGGACAGGACAGGGCAGGGCAAGGGCAAGGAAGGGGATGGAGGGCAGGGCAGGGCAGAGCCTCTCATTTGCATAATCGACGCGCGCATGCGTGCAGTTTGTCCCCCTGTATGGAAATACTGATTGATCCTCATCGAGGGAGTCCTGATGCCAGATACCATGTGCCATATGCAGCAGCTGAATTGCCCGGCTTAGTGCGGCCAAGTGAAATATGCGCACATTTCGCACAGTTTGCTTATTTTCAATGCCTCATTTGGTATTCCATTTAATTGGAATTTCATTTTGTCAAACGCAAACTAATTTTCTCTGAGAATTTTTAAGAAAATTAAAAAGGAGACTGAAAATTTTGCAGAACTTGAAAGGTATTAAATCAGAGTTTTTTATAATATAATTAAATTTACATATTAATTTCCGCAAAGCATTCAATTTTTGCAAATACGCAAATCTCAGGAAAAAAATGGGATTTAAAAATTTAAAGAATTTGAAAGGGATTTAATCGCATTTTTTATATCATTAAATTTACATATTAATTTCTCAAATTGCAAAGCATTTGGATGACAACATTTTGAGCTAAGAGGAATCTGTAGGGTCCGCCTGGAAGTTCTTTGTGCCCATCTCCCACACAATTGATTGCAGTTTCAATTGTTTCCATCAATTTGCGTTTTTTCCTTGACTTGCAGCAATGCGCAAAGAAATTCGATTTATTTCAATTTAGCAAAAGGCCAAAATCAACTTAAACATAAATCCAAGTTATTAAATCCCGCAAAAGTTTGCCAAAAAGGAAAAACAAAAGAAACGAAGAAAATAAAGAAAATTGTGCGAGAACAAAAGTTTGCTTTATTTGCCTACAAGACCAAGTTCAGTTTCAGTTCCAGTTTCGGTTCGGCTCCAAAAAAAGTAGAAAAAAAAACGAGCCGGCAGGCGAGACGGCAACAATAAAAGGTGCGACCTGCCTAGGCGCCTAGGCGAGAGTGGGCGCCAGCGTAATATAATGGGCGCCCTCCCGCCCCTCCCCCTCTGTCCTGGATCCCAACAGCAAGCTGGCACCGAAAGAATGGCGCAAAATAAAAATCGAAGAAAAACAATTAAAATTTATGGCGAAAAACGTGAAAAACAAAGCGCAGGCAAACAAATCATAAAATGCAAATGAACCACAGGAAAGCAGAGACAAAGTGAAAATTAGAAAAGCGCAGAAATAAGAAAAGCTGCTAAAGAAAACAGGACAAAGCAACCATGGAGAATATACGCGAATATAATTAAAGGAGGCGCAAATAAAAGAGTTAAAAGCTGCCGAAATTGGAACACATATAACAGGAATTTTCTATGGATCTGAAATAGATATATGAAATAGATATCACGAATTCTCACAGATTGTCAATTTAAGGTCGATTGTTTCTGTAGGATCCAAAAGAAATAGTTATCGCTTGGTTTTTATAATACTGCTTAGGAGTTAGGAACGTTTTTCAATTGTTGAGATTGATCAATAAATCATGATAAGTAAAAAAGACACAAACTCTGTTTTCGTCCACTTAGCTATAGAGGATCGAACCGATTGACTTCAATATACAAACAACTCAAAATCGATCGTTACTCTGACACTCGATCGTTCCGTTGAAATAGTACTCCGAGTTATGTCAGTATAACTGCAAGAATTGATCATTTGATCTACATGATTAAATATAGATCACATGATTGATCTACATGATTTATTAGTCCAAGCTGTCCGATGCAAGTGCCTGCAGCAAGAGAGCATATATATGCAAGGTTTTACCAAGATCTATTTAATATAAAGTTCCGCTCAAAGGTATAAGGACTTTACAAGATTTTAATCAATTTTGTAAAATCCTTCAAAAGACTAAAATAAGTTCTTAACATCATATAGATTATGACATATAAGAAGATTTAAATAATGCTTATTATAATATATTATTATTATTGTATTATATTACATGTAATGTATATATGTAGCTATAGCTCATATGCTCTATAGGTTCTCCACAATTGTGTTCTATCTTAAAAAAAAAAAATAACGGCCGCTTAGCTCTCATGTGCGTCGCCCTTGCGAGGTGCTCAACCACATTGGGCTCAGCCAATCTGGTAACCTCTGGTAATCCGCCCAAGCACATATGTGGGCGTATGTAACCGCATATATACTCACTTGCGTGTGTGTGTGTGCTTGTGTGTGTGAGTGAGAGAGTGCGCCAACAAATCGAAATGTTGCAAAAAGTGCTCATATGTCCCACACACACATGCTAACCCTCCCCTTGTGTGTATGTGTGCATATGTTTGTCAATTTCCACCGAGTTTTTCTTGTGCTCTTTTTTTTTTTGACAAAAATCAGCAAGGCTAGGGGTTGGTTTTTCCGAGCAACGCGTCGTTATATTTTTTTTCGCATTTCTCTTTCGCACACATGCCAGAGCGAGACACGCATATGCACATGTATGTGTGTATATGGGTGTAATATGTTGTGTATATGATTTTATTTTACTTTTCTCGCTTTTTTCTTGTTTTGTTTTTGCTGCTTGTGGAGCTGCGCCAACGCCAACGCCAGCGTCGTGGCGCGCTTATGTAAAGTAAAACGCAGCTCGCATGCATGGAATACGAGAAATAGATAACATACTAAAAGGCGAGCACATGCGACAGAGATAGCAATAGCAATAGCAACAGCAACAGCAACAGCAGCTGGAAGCAGCAGCAAAAAGCTTTGGCCATAACAATAACAATAACAACAACAACAACAACAACAACAACAACAACAACAACATCAACAGCAACAACGGCAGCAGCAGCAAGGCGAGTGCAAGGCAGCGCTGCCAGCTTCGCAGTCGTAGTCGATAGCAGTTGAGCAGAAGAGTTGTGTAGCAAAGAGCTTTGCATGTGAGCGCCACACTCACACACAGAGACAGGCAGACAGACAGAGCGCCACGTACGTTACATACATACACTTGCTCTCGCTCACACACATATCGTGTCGCACGCTCACTCTCTCGCTCTCTGGAAAGCAAAAACTCAACTCGCTGCTTTCAGTTTTCGTTTTCCATAAGCTGCCCAAAAAGGATATGTCGACGCTGGCGCTGACGTTGGCTGCGCTGCCGGCGCCCCTTTTTATGAAAAATGTTACACTCACGCGCAGCTGGCGCCGACGTCGCTGCCAACGTGTGACAACTGTGTATATATATGTGTGTGTGTGTGTAAACTCCATGTGAGCCAACGAGGCGACGTCTAACGGGGGTGGGTGACTCGTGTGTTGTTGTTGTTGCTGCTTCTGCTACTGCTGTTGGTGGTGGCTATTACTCTTTACGAGCGTTCAAAGCTCCACATGCCACGTATGTATATATGTATGTGTGCGCGCGTGTGTGTGTGTGTGTGGGTGCGTCGCTCTTTCGTGTCGCTCTTTTTGTTGTATTTGTTGGTGTTGTTGTTGGCGCGCTTCGTGTCGTGCAGGCGGCCACTCGGCTGCTGTCTGCGCTTCGGCTGCGCTACGCATGTGTATGCAAATGTATTTCGTATACACACACACACACACACGCAAATATAATAAATTTTTTTCGGTGTACGTGACGTGCGAGAACCTCGACTGCTGCTTCTGCTGCTGCTGCTGCTCGTGTAGTTGTTGCTGTTGTTGTTTTTGTTGTGATAAGGCAAAAAATATATTTTATATGACGAAGGAGTAAAAACGCCAGCGTCGCTGCCAGCGTTGTCGTCGTTACCGTTAACGTTACCGTTACTCGTGCATCGCCTCGTCCTGCCGAGCTCGTCGCGCGTCGTGCTGCGAACTGCGAGCATCCTCATGTGTTTCGCATGCTGTTTGTTGTTTGTGCTTCGCCTGCTCATACGTGTGCGCGCACGTGGGCGGCAAGGGTGGACCGCCGTCAACGGAAGCGGCGACGGGGGCGGGGGCGTTAGTGGGGGTCGCGTGTGTGTGACGCTGCTGCCGACGCCGCCGTCGCCGTCGCTGCCTTTGGCTCGCATATCTGTTTTTTCGGGCCGACATCATTTGAATTAGTCGCTTCGTGACGTTTGAACGGTTCGAAACATACACGCGACCGCAGAACACACGCACACACCCATATACACACACACACACAGGCAGAGCGTGGCGTTACCGTTACCGTTAACCGTTACGAGCTTGTGCCGACGCCAAAAAATACCGTTAACTCTTTTTTAAAAGTATGTGATAAAATTCGTGCGCTCACATGTGAATGGTAAAAAACTCGATTGAAGACAATTCCTGAGACAGTTGTCTGTGTGTCCTGTCCGAAGATGGACGTGTTTTGATAAAGAAAAAGGACATAACGGGATCTACGGAAAAACAAATTGAACAGTTTAAAAATACTTTCGAGCATATTTAATAACGTTAAATGGTAATGAAAAGTTTAAAAAAACGATAAATTTCTTCGGTAAAAGAAGACAACATTGAAAATAAATAAAAAAAACGAGCTAAAAACACAACGGTTAAAAATATCAAAAATATTTCTTAAATACTTAGATCTGATAAAAAAAAATAATGACCGAAAACTCAATATTACTACAAATATATTTGAATCAAAATAGTTATAAATATGATAGAGATTAAAAACAATAATAACGATACAAGTATTGGGTGATAAAAACGATAAAACATTTTGTTTTAATTATATATTTTTGTTAAAGTTTTTGAATAACATTCATGCCGCTGAAAATTTGATTTGCTATTTGTTTTTTTTTTATTTTTAATCTGCCAAGAATTAAAACTTATTTGCTTGACTGTTTAATTCTTAGCTTTATTCAAATTACAAACATATTTCTGGGCAAAATTAAGAAAACGAAAAGAAAGAAAACCCGATTTAAGCCAAGGCATTTTAATATATTGAATAAAAACACAAACTCTTAATTGAAAAAAACTTTTTAAAATAATTAAATTAAATGCTAATATAATCCGTTTGCTTAGTTAATAGCCACACAATGTAAAAATCAACAAAATTGTGAACCGCTTTAAAACAACAATTTATGTTTTGGTTGTCGCGCCTATCATAAAACGCGGATATTTCAAATGAAACCCAAAACAAATTCTGTGAAATTTGCCAAACAAATTGAGGGATCGAGTGCAACACACACTTAAGCAAACACATGCACACACACATGCATAGGTTTATGGCTGCTGTAAATGGACCCACAAATTGATCTGTCAGCGGCCATTTAATTGGACAGAATACCTGTGCCAGGACCTTTATGTCCAGCCTGTCAGTTACCTGTGCGGGCCAGTGTTTATTTACTTGCGTGTTGCACTGTTTGTTGTGCCTGTTGTACATGTGTCAACACACACCCATATATACGCACACACACCTGATTATCACCTGCAGTACTGTGGAAATTTTGCGCCCTGACGAGTGCGCAGCGAGAGAGACGAGCTGAGAGCGAGAGCTGCTGATCCTGCCCACATAAACACATATCAGTGTGTGTGTGTGTAAGTGTGTGTGTGTTGCCATTTGAGGGTGCGGGCCGTGTGTTGCGTGAGGGTGAGAGCGGCTCGAGCTCTTTCCCATATCCATAACCATATCCACATTCACATGTGAAGCGTATTCCCGACATGCTGCGCATTTATTTGCATTGCTTTGAATCAGTTTGTGGCAAACCCTCGACGCGTACGCGCACTTTTGCAGATCCCAGCGAAGCCAGAGCCCAGAACGTAGAACCCGTGTGTGTACATGTGTGTGCGTGATCTTCCGTGCTTGTGTGTGTCTTTTGTTCGCACACCTGAAGAACGAATATAATAATAATAATAATAGAAAACAAAAAACACATGTGAAATACAATAGTAAAACACGCATATCTAATTTCAACTACCTTATTTGTGTTCACAGTTAAAAGCAAGCGAAATGTTATCGACATATAAAAACTGTGTTAATATTATAATTAACTGAGCCAAGTAAATGAAATGCAAATATATGCGTAAATAAATATAAACAGCATAAGAATTTGGAAAGGATATTGCAGAGCATAAATCTACAGATAAGAGAACGTGGATGGTACGTAAGGAACATAAAATAAATCAGAATAATATTTTATTATTATTTTTAATATAAATAATGCTCTACCATATCGAATTTATTCTTGCAATAAAATATATTGCAATAATTATTCTTTGCAGTAACAAATATTCATACACAACTATCTGATTTATAAACAAGCTTATTTTTCGATAATATGCAAAGTAGGGTTATTTAATAGCCCACCCCAAAGAAGTATTTTAATTATTCATAATAGAGCCGATCTTAAGTCGAAACGTTGACAATTTAAGGGTGGAAGCTCACCTGAATATTCGCAAAACGAAACTGGTCTTTAGCTTGGATTTATAGCTATTCTTTTAGCATTGTTTGTTCTTTCATACCTCTGCAAACTCGAACTGTTTTGGAGTTTAGGTTTGATAGCTTACAACAATAGGACAGTCTGAGGAACTTTGAAAATTGATACATAATTATAACTTTTAACCCAACAAACTATCTTTTGAAAAATATGGATTTGAACCGTCGTCCTTCTCTTGGTTAAGTTGCCTCATTGACAAAACATCTACCTACAATTACAAGTTTTTCTTAAATTATTTTTAAATTTTGTAATCTCCTTAAATCTTTAACTTTGTGGCACGCCGCATTGCCAACTCTTTTCTTTCTTCTGTTGGGCTTGGGTAAAGCCAGTGACCGCCTTAAGCCCAAATCCGAGTCCTCTACTAGTAAATCTGACTGACTTACTGCGACATTAATTAAAAGCTCGCGCAAGTCTTCATCTGCTGCTGCCTGCCTCCTACTCTGCTGCACCCAAAGGTAGCAAGTGGCATTAAATGTTTTTTTTTTTTGAACTGTGTCGCTTTTGGCAACGCTCGAAAGTAAAATACGCGAGTAAATAAATAAAAAATGTTTGCCGCAGTTACTTTAGTTGCGTCAGTTGCGCACCGCAAATGAGATGCAAGGAAAAAAGATGCCGAATAGCGCTTGCCACATGCCGTATGCCCCATGCCGCATGCCTGCTAATTGCACATTGTTGCATTCAGACGTGGGTGTCCTGGCCCAGTTGGCGCCACATCCTGGCGCAGCAGCATGTGTTAATATGCGGTTTTCGCCAGGTACCCAGCGCCAACTGGCAACCGCTTCAGCAGCAGCAGCGGTTGCAGCCGCAGCTAACGGCAAATAAAAATGTTTATTTACGGCGGGCAAATGTAAAGTTTTTTAATTTTGCATCGCTGGCAATGAAGCTGGTTCCAGGCATTGGTTTTGGCATTTGGCATTTGGCTAGGATCTCGCCTGGCTCTGCTCCTGTGCTACTCAGGCGTTGTCAGGCAGCTGGCGACTGTTTTTTAAATTCACACACGCAGCGTGCAGCGCCAGAGTGGGCGGGGGAAGAGGCGCGGCTAGAAGCACGGCACGGCACGCCACGCCAGACAGTTGCTGAATTAATTAGATGCCACGCACCGAGATGCGTAAAAAAAGCTCAGAAGCGCACAGTGGTTGTCATCCGCATATGAATGGTTCAATTTAATGATTCACTTAATTACTTTACTTAAAAAAAAATAATTACTAATAAAAATTGAAGAGTGTGTGTCTAAAATTAGAATATATTTTAAATATGGAAATTGTATTTAATTGATCGATAGCTGTTATAGTCGCCATATATATATGTATTTGTATATCGATTAATTGTATTTTTTGCCTTTAATTCAAATAGCGAAACATCTTTTTTATTGACAACGTGAGAAATAATAACATATCGAATCTGAGTATTTTAATCATAATTTTCACTGTGCGAGCGTCTGTGTGTGTGAGGCTTAGATAAACAAAAACACAGTCGGCGACAGAGGCGCGCAGAACGATAGACAGTCAGACAGCCAGTCAGACGGGCAAAGCTGCAGGCAGGCAGACTGTGCTCTCCTGGTGGCAGTAGCAGGGAGCAGGGAGCAGGGACGGGGGCAGGGGTAGGCGAGCAGTGAGCCATTATCACACATCACACATCTGCATGTGATATCCTCAAGGATATGCGACACGACACGTACCCGACTCTGATTGCTTCATGTGCGTTTGCCCGTCTTCTTCTTGTTCTCATCTGTTTTTTTTTTGTTCTTGTTAGCTTTTGCTGTGCATTGTTTTGGCTTTTGTTGTGCTTGGGATTTACCGAAAATGTGAGGCATAGGGCGGAGAAAAGATGATATATGCCGCGACTCATTAACATATTATCACAACACATACACGACATGGCATATGTCATGAGTACCCGAGCACACTCGGAGAAAAATAGACCTCAATTAAAGAAATTCTGCACGTGGGAACGTTTTACGTTCAATTTAAGTATGCAGGTTTTCTTCTCTTAGCACAAACATTAAATTTATTTAAGCAAAAAGTGTACTTTAAGCATGAAGTCCAATGTTCTTTGACTTCTCTCCCAAAGTTTCGCCCAGTGTAGCAAATCCGAATACATTATGCAACGCATTATGCCTAAGCTTTTGCACATTCGCCTCTAACCTACATCTTTCTTCTTTTTCTTTGCAGCTATCTAGCGTCTTGCAGCAGCTTTGAGGTGCGACACGTGACTTTTTGGGGGTGAGCGCAGCTGTAGGTGTGCGGGGCATGTTAAAGGACGCCGAGGAGCTGATAAAACGCTGCAAACTGACGTCGCTGCCGCTGGCGCTGCATATGAACGAGTTCGGCCGCCAGGTGGCGCCAGCGCCGCTTGCGTTGCCGCTGCTAGCAAAGCCGCCTACAACGCCTCCGGGCATGGGCACGGGCACGAACGGAGCGGGCGCGGATCATCATCAGCATCATACGCATCATCAGATGCCAATGCCGCTGCCTCTGCCGCTACCAATGCCGGCGCCTTCGACGCACAGCCACGCCCATGGATCAATGCACACAACACCGCCCACAACGCCGCCCACGCCGCCAGCGCTGCCGCTGAACATGAGCCAAGCGGCAACCACAACCGCAACCACAACGGCCACAACAGCCGCCGCTGCGGCGGCCGCGGTGGCGGTGGCGGCCACAACGACGCACAGTCCGCCTGCCACGCCCACAGCGGTTAGTGCCGCCCTGGGGGCTACACAGGATCATTATAGTCTACGCTGGAACAACCATCAGAATCACATATTGCGCGCCTTCGACGCCCTGCTGCAGACCAAGACCCTCGTGGATGTGACCCTCGTCTGCGCGGAGACCTCAATACGGGCCCACAAAATGGTTCTGTCCGCCTGCTCGCCCTTCTTCCAGCGCGTTTTCGCCGAGACGCCCTGCAAGCATCCGGTGATCGTGCTGAAGGACTTTCGCGGCTGGGTCGTTCAAGCCATTGTGGACTTCATGTACCGTGGCGAGATCAGCGTGCCCCAGCAGCGCCTCCAGACGCTCATCCAGGCCGGCGAGTCGTTGCAGGTGCGCGGCCTTGTCGAGAGCTCCGTGCCGGAGCACACGCCCACACCGGCTGCCTCGCCCGACGACTTCAACCTGTTGGACGCCTCCTCGCTGCTGTCCTCCAGCTACGAGGACGAGTCGCCCTCGATGGTCAGGCCAGCGTCTGGCAAGCTGATCATGCCCAGCCGGCTCTATGGGAATCCGGCGAGCGCCATGGCGGCGCTCAGTCTGCGCCGCAAGCGGGAACAAGAGTGCGATCGGGAGCCGGAGAGCGATCAGGAGCTGGGCGGCAGTTCACCCATGCCGCGACGCAAGCAGGCTCGTCCACGGCGACGCTCGGGCGATGTTCCACACGACTTTGCGCTCAACAAGCCGGAGACTACGGAGACGGCGGCGCTGCAAACTGTGATCAAACATGAGCTGCGGGAGGAGCAGGAGCCGGAACAGGAGCACAGCGAGAAGCGTTCCACAGCGGACGAGGCCAGTCCCATGGAACAGGATGAGCAACAGTCTCAGCAAACAAACGAGCCCGAAGATGAAGTCGAGCAGCGAGAGCCGGGCGGGCACAGGGAGCCGCAGCAGGAGCACGCGTTACCCCTTATCACGCCCGGCAGTAGCATTCAGCAGGCGGAACAGGAGCTCGATGAGGAAGAGGACGAGGATCAGGAGCGGGAGCACGAGCACGAGCAGGAGGAGCATGAGCATGAGCACGAACACGATCACGTTCACGAACATGATCAAGATCCGGATGAGGACGAGGACGAGGAGCAGGACATAGAAGAGCTTATACACACGACCAACGAGCTGCGGCGTCAGGCGGCAGTAGCCGCCGCCAATGCAGCTGCCATGTCGCCCTGTCCCAGCGACGGGCCCGAGGATCTGTGCACCACCAAAAAGGACAAGCAGGACACCAGCCACGCGCACTCCTCGGATGGCGAGAGCAACAACAACAACAACAACAACAATAACAGCAGCAAGCTGCAGGACAACAACCAACGCATCATGTTGTCCCTGAAGGACATCAGACAGCTGAACGCCAAGCCCAGCGCCACATCGACGCCCAGCCACACGCCGAACAGCAGCTGCGCGCCGGGCAATAATGGCCTCTTGTCCTTCCCGCCGCCAGGTATGCGTCCGCCCGGTCTGCCCGACAGCCCGCCCTGCCACATGGAGGCGCTGGAAGCGCAAATGCACGCCGCGGCCGCTGCCGCCGTAGCCGCAGCAGGCGCCGGTGAGAATCCGTTTCATCACATGGAGCACCAAATGGAAATGTCGCTGGCCGCGGCCGCCGCAGCGGCAGCCATGCACCAGCGTGAGCCACGCGATCTCCGAGAGAGCCGGGAGCAGGCGCTGCAGCGGGAGCACAATGCATTCGCCAGCAATCTGCTGGGGCCCATGGGGCTGCCGCCCTTTGGAGGACACAACGGAGCGCCGGGTCCGGGCTGTCCGGGTCAGGCGCCGCACGAGCGGCTCGAGGAAAGCATGAATCGGCTGAGCAAGGAGTTTGGCAAGGAGTTCGGCAAGGAGTTTGGCAAGGAGTTTGGCAAAGACTTTGGCAAGGACTTTTGCAAGGAGTTCGCGCCCACTTCGCCCATGAGCCTGCCTGGCCACTATAATCCACAGGACGGACAGCCGCATCCGCCGTCGCCGCTGCCCTTTCCCGGCATGTCCTCGGCGTTGACGCTAACGCCGCCGCACAGTAAGTAGAAAACGCGTTATCCTAGCGAGGTCACTGGGTTAGGCTTCACATCCTGCACTTCCTGTTGCTGTCCTAAACAAATTTCGCTCCATCAAAGAGCTTGCAAAAAATAAAAACAAGCGGAAGTCCTAATAAACGCGGTCCCTGCAGGCAGCTCCCGTTTGCTCAGCTCCTCCTCCTCTGCCCCTGAATGGACTACTTGACTCTGTGACTCCTTGGCGCACGTACGCTCAAGCGACTTCAGTTTTAATAAGCTCGCATGTCCCTGGCCCCACAGCATGGCAGCCACTCGGCATGCAACATGTGGCCACTGTAGATGTCTCCGTCTCTGTCCCTTCCTCTCTCCCTTCCTCACTGCCTACCCCTGTCTCCGTTCCTGTCGCTTTGCCGGCGACATCAAAGTGGAACCGACTGCATAAGCATCCTTTTTGCTGAGCTTCTGCAGTCGTTGTCAGGGCCAAAGCTGTCGCAAAGCCTTTAAACGCATTAGGGTCGCCCCCGAGTGGGTATTCACACTCTCAAACTGCTTTATTCATTTTTTTTTTTCGCTGTCTTCAACTTTTTGCGCTTTTATGGAAAATATTCTGCAGCAACAAGTCCCAAAGAAGGTATGCAGAATAATGCATATATAGGATTACATTGGGTTGACCAACATAAATAGAAAAGCTCATCTTTCAACAGTTTTCTTCCAACAAAAAAATTCTCCATTTTACTTTTCTTTAGCACATATAATTGCAAATTCCTAACGTCTACGTAAATTTTCATGTCCTATCTCCCTTGTCCTTTAGCCTTTTTTCCTCACTTCCACATATATGTTCATACAACCTCTCTCTGCGATTCTCACACTCGTTGTGCGCCACATAACTGCAATTTCAAAGTATGCCTTCATATATTCACTTATTCACTATTTAGATTGTTTCGGCCAAGTCACAAAGTTATGCGCTGCGGCTTAAAGCTATTACCCACTCATGCCCCTTGCAAGCTCCCTCTCTTCCGCTTCCACCATTCATTTTCATTCCTAATTAAGTCATAAACAATTTTTGCTAGTTGACAGCTCATAAGATATATTGAAATGAACTGAAAACTGAAATGTGACAAACTGAGCTGCAAGTGCGCCTCTAATAATTTGACAGTTTAGTTATTGCAACCGTTCCCCCTCTGCCCCTTCCTACGCGCCTGTCTGAAACTCAGCAACTTTGCTTGCGACTAGGCGGAGGTAGGGACGTTGTGTCAAGACTGGGCGCTGCACTTGCGGTTGGTGCAAAGTTGCAAGTTGGAGTTGCAGTCGAAATAAATTCAATTGCGGTTTATATATGATTTTTTGTATATTTATGTCACCCGAGGCGGAAAGAGAGGTGCAAAAGGGGAGTGCTGAGAAGGGGTTGCACGTTGCGTGCAGACCGCTAGAAATTTATGTTGTGTCTTTGGCAACATGTGAAGCAATGTGTGTGCTTATGTGTGTGCTTGCAATTCTCTCAGTCGCTGCGAGTTCAAACTGTCGGCAGACGTTTAGCGAAATGACTTTTAAGTTGCCAAACAGCACACAGACAACTGCCACGCCTCCTCCCCCTCCAAGGGGTGTGTGTTGCACGTTGTGTTTGTGTTTAAAGTATGCCACACGGTGCTGCAACGACTTAAACCTTTTGGCAAACAACTTTGGCAGCGTCGGCGTCGGCGGCGGCGGCATAAATAAAAATACAGAGTCCTGTGTGTCGAGACCTGAGTCCTGATTCCTCGCAATCCTCGACATGCTTCTACCTCTCCTCGTCGGCGCTTCCCTTTTCGTATAAAACTTTACATATAAGTCGCGCGATATTCATATTAATAATATCCGTTTGGGGAGTCCAGCCCCCCTTTAGCCTCAGCTCCAAATGCAGACCTCAAACTCGGTCTCTGTCAGGCGCGACGCGCACACAGGATATAAAATAAATTAAGGCACAAAAATACAAAAATATGAAAAATTGTACGAAAATACCGAGTCGCAGGAAGCGCAATACCTTTTAATGCGACAAAAATTTCAGCCAACATATCAGGGCAATGCAAAGCTATGAGAGGAAGATGGTTGAGTTAGGGGTACGGGGGGTGGGTGTGCACCATCCCAAACGAGGGGGGTCATACGACCAGCTCGCTAACTACTGCATAAACAGGCTGCAGGCAATGAATGCCAGCCAAGGATACAAGCAAGAATCCTCGACTTGGCAAAGAACTGCAAAAGGAAGTATTCCACAGAAAGCAGGTCGACTAAAACATGCTCTTTCTTGAGAAGTTTCTTATGATGATATGATGATATATTGTAAGCTTGAAAGAATTGAGTATAATATAATAAGGGGAGAGAGAGAAACAAAGACGGGGAGAGAGAGAGAGCGAAAAAGAAGCAAAACCAAGGACTTGAGAAAAGTATAGATAAATCCAAGAATTTTCCTATCATTTAAATATATATGAATTTTCAGTTTGCGAATTCCTAAATTCACCCTCAAATAATTCCTTTTGTAGTAGTTACTTTGACAAGCCTCAACTCAACAAATGTATATTATTTATGTTTCACTTCATGAATCTTCTAGTTTGTATAGTTTATAATTTATAAATATGTTACATTACCTTTTACGTAGTCCTTATACCCTTCTTTGTTTACCCTACACTCACTCTCTCTGTGGGCAAACAGAAGCATTGCAGACAGCCGCAGAAAAAGATTTACCAACGTTTTGCCGTATGAAGAATGTGATTTATTTTTTGCGAGTCGCATTTCGGCGTGAAAATCATTGAACTAATAGCATGTGACGTGCAGGTATGTGTGTGTGTGTGTACAAGTCAATGGCTGTCTTGTTCTAGAACCCTTGAGAAAAGACGTGAAAAGAAATCCGCACTAATTTCGCCAGGCAAAGCAGAGACTTGCTTTGATTCTGAGAAGGACATGAGAAAGGGATGGAGAAAAGCGAAAGAAACGCATATTACGTATACGCAGCGTGTTGTTATGTCTTGAATACTCGAGCAGAGCGCGTCGCAAACAATGCGCGCTCGTTATTTGTGTCATTATGCAGCAGATACACAGTCTTTAGATACAGATACAAATATGTATATTTCCCCTGCCCGCCCACATTTAATCATATGCGACTACAATGCGCGTGTGTGCGGGTGTGTGTGTGTGTGTGGCTGTGTGTTGCGTCTTCGTATTCGCGTACTTATGAAATCATTCAGCACAATGTCAATGTTATGCCTTATCCCTCACCCACACACACACACACACACACACACATATACACCCACCTGCTTTGGCTTTCTGAGCACATCCTTTAGATCCTTTTTCAGTGTCTTCCCCGTTGTCGCCGCCTCATCAGCGCTTCAATTGTTTCACTCATGTGAAGAAGTGCACTCGAAGCGTAAATTATTAATAGAATAATGACGTTCCATTGTTTACCATCCACATCCACTTCTGGAGCCCAGATGCACTCGCAATTGGCATAGTCTTGGGGTCTGCCCGTCTCGGAAGTACGTGCTCGTGTTCGTGTCTATCCCATTGTTAGTGGGGCATTCACTGAGCTGGAAAATGAGTCGCTTATGGAAACATTTGCAATTGCAATAAGTTTTATATAAAGGCAAATTGTAGGCAACTTATAAATAAGCAAGTTTGGCTCGTTAAATATTTCTTATAACAGATATCACAGCTGATGAGCCACAGACTTGAGCTTGATTTAAGTAACTCTTTGCTAACCTATCATCATTTCTTTTCTCTCCGCTCCACAGTGTTTGGCCTGGACTCGCCGCTTGGCTTATTTCCGCCCGGCATTGATCCTGGCAAACTCTACAATCCGCTAATGGAAATGAGCGATCCACGCGATATGCCCGGCGGACCGCCGCCGTTTCTCAAAAAGAAAAGTAAGTAGCCATAAATAAAGCCCCTCCACATCTCGCGTAGTACGTGAAAAACAAACAGCTAATTAACCTCTGAGCGCTAACTTCGAACCCAACAAATACAACAGCAGGAGCCGAAGAAAAATGAAATCATACAACGAGAAAGGTTGAAAATCAATTCAACATGATTGCCATGTCGATCACTTTGCAGTCGCTGCCGCCTTTGCCGGCGTCTCCCTCAAAACCTTATACAATACCTTATACCTTATGCCGTTTCGTGCCTTACTTCACACCTGACTGATTGATCTCTCGCTGATGGTTTTTCTTTTTACTGTGCTCAGCCAAAAGTTTCTGCACTTTTGATCACGTCGCCGAGCTTGGGCAATAGCAACAAACACTTTACTAGGTGTCTGGTCTTTAGCCTTAGATCGGCGATCGGTAAATATCAGTTGCCATAAGGTTAGATGAAAGATCAGTTGTGATCGCTGGCGTATATAAGGTATGCATCGCTATTAATGCAGTTGTGATTAGTATGGAATATTAGCTGCAAATTGCAATTGCTATGGTCTTGTATAAATTAAAGTGATCCGATCGATGATCAGATCGGTGATCAGCACATTTTTCAATTTAACTTTAAGTTAAATAAAATAATTATTGATGAACTGCTGCGATGTGATATCATACTTAAGAGCAATTTGACTGCTCTGATCTGAACTAATGTAAGATCAGCTGTGATCAGTTGATTCGCGATTGATAGTTGATCGAATCGAAGATCAGTTAATATCAATGGAAGATCTTTATCCATTTAGATCAGATTTTTTGTTTTAACAAGATCATTCTGTAAGTGATCTCTTGATAAACCTTGATATTCGCAGCAATAATCGACTGATCGTTGATCGCTGATCTCCCCCTTTGTCAGATTTATACACACTGAAAAAGAAGCTCACTGAATTGCAATGCGTGCTCATTTCCTTTTGGCATTCTACCCTCCTTGCAGCCCTGCTCATCACATTCAGCAGCACTCTTGATCAGTCGAGACGCGATCACTCGTGCGATCATGTGAGGCGGCAAATTTGTTTTTGTGGTTTTCCTGTGCAACTCAACTGGGCTGGCACTTCGGAGCGTTGTTTGTTTCTTCAATGGATCAACATGTGCACCTATGCATATCGTAAACGTCGTTTTTTCTGACTCTCTCAACCTGTACAGCTCTTGATTGACAAATAGTCAGCTCCATAAACGCAGTCGTTTTTTTTATTTCAAATGCAAGTGAAACCTCAGAAAGTTAATGAAGTTTTTCTGTGTGTGGGGAACTAATATATATCTATAATATATACAAAATGTGGTTCAGAAATCAATTATCTATTTCCTTGATTGTCATGTGATTGACAATGAGTGCACAAAGAGCGCGCGAGGAGGGGGAGAAGAGGCGAGTTGCTCGATGATTGTTAGCTTACGGTTTGAACCATGTGAGCAACAAGTTTTGACAGCTTATTTGACAGTTGGCCTCGCGTTGATGGGTTAAGTGCTTGGCCAGCGCTTTTATGAATGAAAGATTGGCTTCAAGCTCAAGTGATCCCCGGAATGATCTCTTAAATGCAGGAGGCGCCAGTTTGCAGGGCTAAGTGAAATGTAGAGAGATTTGGTGGGATTACAAACTGAAAATAAAATTGTTGCCGGTGTATTTGGTAGCTTGAACCTTTTAGCTTACATGTTTGGAGTTGGAAAATATGAATGAATTTTGAATAATCTAAAAAGTTTGTCTGGTTTGAGCTAATGCGTTGGTTTGATGTAAATCTCAGGCTCGAGCCGCTTCGGTTGTTTGCCAGTTTGAGCTTTGCTTTTGATCTACTTGCTTTACATTTATAGCGATCCCTAGTCCATGCTGAAATCTGGCTGATCTTTCCACTTCATTTCGCACACACTTTCAAACCGATCACATTTAATTGCTTAATTTTCTCATCAATAGCCGCAGTTACAGCGAGTCGTGATCAGATGTTTGGCATGCCAAAAGCGAAATGCCACAACAACGCTCGTATCTGAGCCGATCTTCGGGCAGCTCATCTCGGAGCCCGGAGACTCCTACGACTCATCCCGACCATGACAATCGCTGTTTAAATTACAACAATGTGAAACAGTAAATAAAACTGTGCTAAAAAGCGCAAATCTGGCGTATAGCACGATATTCTTTATTGCGAATCTGGCAAACGGGTTTTGTACAGCATTTTTTTTTTGGCCAGCTTTGATAAGAATCAAGCACTTGGCTCAAACCGGCAACAGTGCATGGGCTATGCCTCAGGCAGGGGGTAAGGGGAGCTATCACATTTCTAGGGCCTGTGCATTCGTAGTATTCGTGTGGGTGTGATTAACTGATTTGTTCACATTCATTTGTTCATTTTTCGATTGTTTTTTTCTTCGCTCCTCTCAACTCTCTCTCTTTCTCTCTCTCTCTGTCGCTGTCACTGTCTCTGTCTCTCTCTCTGCAGTCAGTCGCTTGTGTCGGAAAACGTGATTTGCGATTTGTAACAAATTCAAATTTCATTTTGTCGGTTGCAAGGTGGGGCGTGGCGGGGTGTAGACACAAGCGGGAACCCAGCAATAACAACGTCAACAACAACAACAGCTCGAGAGGCTCAACAATTGCATTTTTGCACTCGGATTGTGCCTCTTGTTCTTGTTGCATTTCATTGGAATAAGAGGTCAGACCTACGTTTTGACCCTTGTGCTTATATATAAATTGTGTCAACGGCAGAAACAACAAGCACAAAACAAATAACAATTGTGTTATATAAGAAATTGTACTTAAATGCGATTAGAACCAACAGGCTGACTCTACTAAGCGCAAGGGTCCAACTACTTCAGGTACAATTCAAGTTTTTTACTTAGATGGAAAACAATTTAATTTTGGAATATGCAGAGAATATTTCAGTTTATTTCTAGAACATTTTTTTCAATTCTTATGAGGATGAATGATTGAATATTTCGGAACTCGGCCAGCTTAAGTTCAAGTTGTTTTTGGAGCTAAGCAATTATTTTTGTTCTCTTTAATTTATCATTCGTCATTCCATTATTCACTAATATTATCAAAAGGATTCTGCTGAGATACATTTACTTATTAAAGTTCTAAATCGAACAAAGAATTTTAAGAAATAAATTACAAATAAGTTCTAAACTATTATTTAAGACCTCTTAATTTTATGCAGGGCTTAAAGTGGAGTACTTAAGTTAAGTTTAAAGTATCCTCAACCTTGGAATACTTTTATATGATTAAAACATGCATATTCCACATTCCTTTAACATAAAGTTAAATTAGGCTAAGTATCTATCTGCAATATTCTTGAATATCAACCTATTTTGAAGCCTCAGTCTTCATACTTTCCGTCTAAAATATATTTCGAGGCATATTTATATTCATTTAAAGAAACTCTTGCTATCGGCCACATTCGGCAAGAAAATTTCATATTATCAGGCAAAAGGCAAAAGAAAAGCTGTGCAATAAACTGTAAATTATCGCAGACTGCAAATTTGGCCACATATAAGTGCGACTGGGCCAAGAGCAGAGATTCGACATGGTCGCCCCCAAGAGCTTTATCCAGCTCGTTGTTGTCTCCAACCCAAAGTTGTTGTTGTTGTCGATCGGCTGATCGGGCCAGCTGAACCTGTGGCTGCAACTCTCTCGTTGTGGGGCAGGTCGATATCTTTGGATCTAAATTGAGTTTTAGCGGCGCATGTGACGAGGCTCCATGCTCGTAATTTGCATATGGAAGGTCGGGCGAGGCACTGGCTCGAGCTCAGGTTCGGGTATGGGAACCACCACAGCGTTCGCTTTTTTTAGGTGCCACATGCAACAACAACAACTGCAGCAACAACCAGCGATTGCTTTACGCAGTGTGCCCGACTAACAGATATCCTAAGTTCTATATTTTATAACTTTTATGTGTATCGTGCGATTACATCAAAACTTTGGGGACTCCAAAATGTAACTAATATGCATACAAGAAACCAAGAATATATATGTAAAAAGAAGTGCTTAATTTAGGCAGAATAGCTCGAGGTTTTCGAAAAGTCAAATCATCCTACAAGAACATGCCACATTTTGTATGTATCTCTTTAATTCCTTCAGATAAGCTCAAATACCTAGGAATGTTAATATTTATTTATTGATTTCCAGCAACTGCAGCGATTTGTAAACTCTTATAGTAAACTAGACTTTAAAATGATAATCGATATTTATCGATTTCGAGCAACTGCAGCGACTTCTCGCTCTTAGGCATAATGTATTCTATGGGTTTCAGTCTTCATTATACCCCTTTTTGCCACTCTAACTGCGTACAGGGTATAGCAGCAGGCACAACAGGGTGTGTATGAGCTGTAGGCAACTGCAGACAATGGGCAAATCTTTTAACGAAATTGTCTAGGCCGCATATGGGCCACGTAGATTGAAACATTAGCAGATGGTCGCCGCCAGATAACCCTCTAAAGACTGCAGTAGAGCTCCGAAAGTAGCTCAGGTGCCTTTGCCACAGCACTAATCAATCTCTCTCTTTCTCTCCTTGCAGTGCCACGCCCCAAGGGACAGCATTCGGCGCCACGCGGCGGTCCGCCGCGCTCGTGGACCAACACGGAGCTAACGGAGGCACTGCAGCACGTGTGGAACAAGAAGATGACCACGTCGCAGGCCTCGCGCATCTTTGGCATACCCTACAACTCGCTCCTCATGTACGTGCGCGGCAAGTACGGCAAGAGTCTGAAGCTGGAGCAGCTGCGCAAGGACTGCATCAGCGGGCCGCCCATCGAGATGCTGCAGATGGGCATCAGCGGCGGCGGCGGCGGCTCCAAGAGCGAGAAGAAGGAGCGCAAGGAGAAGGACAAGGAGAAGAATGCCAATGCCAATTCGGGAGCCAACAATGGCTCTTCCGGTGGCAACGGCAATGGCAATGGTGGTGCTGGTGGTGGCGGTGGCGGTGGCGGTGGTGGTGGTGGTGGTCCGCCGCCCATGCCACATCCCAGCGATTTGGCTGGACTGGGTCCGCTCGACTTGGAGCTGGGCCTGCCGCTGGGTCCGCCCGCTGGTCCGCGCAGCGGCAGCTCCGAGCCAGATCTGCTGGGCGGGCCCAATGCATTGTTTAATCCCTTCAATCCGCAAGGCTTCTATCCGGACTTTGCCGGCGGCTTTCCGGGGCTGCCGCTCAGCATGCTGAACCTGCTGCCGCCGGCGGAGCGCCACCACGCAGCGGTGGCCATGCACCATCTGGGCGTTAGCATGGACGAGGACTGCAAATCGGTGGGCTCCAAGCAGTCCTCCTCGCTGGACGATGACTTCGCCGCCGGCCTGCCGCTGGCCCTCGAGCAGCGCCGCCACAGCGAGCTGTCCAGCAATGGATCGACGCTGGCGCAGGCGAATGGCGGGGCGCAGGATTGAAATATGTGGCGGGATTGGGCTGCCAACCCAATGTTCTTCCCGCCCTACGAGCTGGATGCGGCTGCAGCTACGCACTCGCACTCGTCTCCGCCCCCACCGCCGCCGCCCCCGCACCACGGTTGTCGCGACTTCAACTTTAACCCGAGCCTGTTCATGGCGCGCCGCAAGCTGAAGCGCTACCGGTCCAAGCGCGTTCACATGCAGCTTCATCCGCCGGGTGCGGCAACAGCGGCAGGGGGAGCGGGGTCAGCGTCGCAGCCGCCACCGGCACGCCCCGCGCTGCCGCCTCCGCTGCGCACATAACTCTGGCCAAGCGAAAGCATTTTCCAACTGTGAAAACCGATTGCAATATGTTTATAAATGAATTAATTAATGTAATTAAGCGAATAATTTAATGATCATTTAGTTCACGCACTCAAGACAATATTTGATTTATGATAGTTTATGTTTCTTTAATTTTTGTATATTTTGCTGGTGCTTTTAGTTCCTATTCCCAATTATAATTTTGTGTTTTTAGTTTGGGTTTAATTATTATTAATTTTAAGCTAAGTAACTGAATATGACAAAGCTTACAAAGCATTTGAGGCAATACAAGAAATCATTAAACATAAAACCGAGCACTTAACCTAATTTAATTATTATTAATTATATTAATTATTAATTGATTGTATTATGTATGTATGTAAGTATGTGTAATTCCGCAAGTATATAATCAAAACGAAGTTTACGGCAAGCTATAATTAAGTGAAATCTGTAAATACGACGCAAACATAACCAAAACCAATCAGCATTAGGGGTATTCAGTTCAGTTGCTGGCCAAAACGATATGCCGATATTCATCGCCACAACTGTAAACAATTAGCAAAAACAAAAAAAAAAAAAAAAACAAATGAAAAAAATCATTTGTAACGCAACAACATAAATTAGTAGTATTGATCTATGGATATATGATGATGACTGTACCAAAATTTTTAATGTTATTCTATGAACCAGCGGCAATTATTTAGTTTTAGTTTAAGCGTACTCCACTAGGCAATTTGTAACTGTATAGATCATATTGCATTCCGGCAAAATTTAATGCACTCAATCGAAACTCATGAATTACATACGAGTAGTTGTTGATTGACTCACGAATCATTTCGTATAAAGGCATACATACCCATATATATGTATACATATATATTTATAGAGGTCGCTGTGCAAGTGTAGTGCAAACATAACGGTAAACATAATGTAGGGGGCAGAGAGATACCCTTTAATTAATCAGTTTTTGTATTTGAATTTGTAAATGAACCAAACGATTCTCGTTTTGGCAAGTGACTCATTTTTCCGCGCATAGTTTTAATAATTTATAAGCTCAACAAATATTTTAAATTATAATTAAACACAAGAAACAGAAAATATCGACTAAGTTATGCATATAATTAGTAAAGGTTATTAAATAAACAGTTAAATGAGATTATTCATAAAATAGTGATTACAGGTTGTTTAATGTAATATGCAACTAAAATATCTATATTTTCAGAGCAATATGTATGAGAAATATGTCAGATACGTTAAATTATATATTTGAATATGTACATATCTAACTTTTATGTTATCGCTTAGTTCGATAAGTTGTGGCGGCATGCGATAGTTATGTCTACAGTAAGGTGTGTGTCTCGAATATGTTACAGACGCGGGTATGTGTCTGTACTAAAGCTGTCGCCGCCATTCGTCAAGTTAGCGATTCGTTAAGTGAGCAGTGTAGTTCCAAGTGTCTAGCGCACACGCCGCAACGCGTGTGACAAAACGTGTAAAATTGAAAAAAAGCGGAGCTTTTTTAACAAAATAATTCTTAAATTGTGCACTGTGTAATGTCGCGTGAGTGGCGGCAGACAATGTTGCAAAATGTTCGCGAGAAAAAACATGTTTAAAATTTGTTTTCAAGAAAATTTGCAGTGTTCGGAAAGTGCGCGTGGCGCGTCGTCAAGTGAGCAGTTCGTTAAGTGAGCAATTCGTTAAGTGAGCAGGTCGTTAAGTGAAAAATATCGTAAGTTTCGTTTCGGCGCGTTTTTCGTTAAGCAGGTACACAAACGCGTAACGTTCAATATTTGGGTGAGATAAAGATAGCTACGCTTACAGTTTGGTATGGTAGCAATTGCAAGAATTCGTTAAGCAAATTATTCGTTAGGTTTAGAAACGAAGAGACTTGTGCAGTGTTGTAGCAATTAGCTTATGGCAATGTGAATTGTGGCGGGCTAAAATTAATATTAAAATTGCTTGGAATTAGATTAATAAAAATGATTTAATCTGAAATGAAATATATCTATCCAGCTGCTGCTCCGTATATAAACATCGAACTTAAATATATAGGTAGGTTTAAAATTGTGTGTGCTACTTAAATTTAAAGTGTAAAAACCAGTCGAATTTTCCTTAGAGTTCATCAACTTGCCATCTCTCTTTGCTTTTCAGCCATTTGACTGACTAAATAGTCTTTTGTGAGTGCACTCATAACTCATGATGCATCGCCCGGTCACAGCGATTGCCCAAATAGTCGAAGGGCTGTCAGCAAAGTGGCAATGGGCAACCAATGAAACGGATTCAACCTGTGCCACAGCGACCTCTGCATCAAACGAGCAAAATGAACAACAGCACAGCTCTGAAAGCCGAGCTATCCATATGGGGTACGTATCCGCATCTGTATTTGCATGCATGTACTTCTATCTGACTCTCTCCATTCAAACGCATCTGCTTTGGCCAAATGACAGCAAAATGCATGCTGGCGGCAACAGCTGCGTCAAACATATCAGAAGAGTTTATCGTGTTGCTGTGGATTTTGCGGCTATAGCACGGCTGCCAGTTGCCGCAGGTGCAGGCCACCAACTCCATCTCCAACTGCAAATCCAACTCCAATTCAGACCCCGAATTCCAGCACCAGCTTCAATTCCAATTGCCCGTAGTCAAATTTCATCAAACATTTGCTTAATTTGTATTGCATGCGATTTCTCATGCCACAGTTAGTTAGACAAACAGCCAGACGGACAGACGGACAGACGGACAGAGGGTCTGACTGAGTCTCTTTGGCCCCATCATCATCAGGATCAACGGCTACTTCTTGTCGGGGTGTCAGTCATGGCCAGTTGCCTGGCCTTTTGCCTTTGCCGTTTGTCTTTGTTGTCGTCGGCTGCCTGTCACTGCTCATTCCTGTATTTGTATACGCATTGGAAATGGGTAAAAGGGTATGCTGTACTTATAGCACAAATGCTTGTAACAGACAAAAGAAGACATCTCTGATTTATGAGTATATATAGACTTAGTTAAGACTGAGCTGATTGCAGGGTATTTACCAGTCTAGCACTCTCAACTGCGTGTAGCACTCTCAATTGCCATCTGAACATTTGTATGCAAATGTTTGGCTATGGGATGCTCTGCCTCCCGCCTGGCGCTATTCTATGCATATTGTGACTCAATTGTGGCCATTGAACCCGCGACGCAGTCAGTCAATGGCTCATTAACTCAAACGCCCGCCCGCCGCATATCAGCTGCATTTTTGCACTCGCGTTTGTATTTGTTTTCGCATTTGTATTTGTACCTGTTTTGACAGCTCTTTTGGCAGATTTGTAGATTTGAGAAATCGGTCTTGAAATTGCGTCACGCGGCGCCGTCTCAAATTTTGATGATGCTCGCTTTTCGCTGTTGCCCCCGGGGCAGCTGCTGTAAACACCTGAGCCACGTGTGTTAGTTTCTTCCATTGAGATTTCCAAAATGTTGCCACAGAGCAATTGGCATGTGACGCGTGTGTTTGCCAAGTGTGCAGCTCTTTTTATAGGCATGCCTTCAGGCGGGGGGGACTCAAAAGTTTGATTTCCAGCTAAATGCGAAATGGGTGCATCAGCCAATTGAGAACTGATTCTTGTTAACTTTAAACACTCAGAATCTGGCCATAACTAAAACGAAGGGGAGATCAGGATGGGTAGATTTCAATTTTTCACAGGCGTGTACTTAGTGGAAAGTTAATATCTGAGTAAAATCGAGTTCCACGATCTTAGCTCTCTTTTGCATTTTTAAAAGTTCTCAACAAATCTATAAATGTGAACTTAAAGCCAACTCAATTACTATTCAGAGCTATTTATAAAGCATGCACAGACTTTGGAATTATATTATACATTTATTATTCTAAATATAAACTTATTTGAAATGCATTCACATCTGAGATTGGCAACTGCATGTAAATTGGCCTTTGCACAGTCGATACCCATAGATACTTAAGCAGCTGACCCAATGCTAAACAATTTGCTCACGTATCCATATATTAATATCCAATCAGTGTGGCACACACACACACACACACGCACAGGTAGACAGCAGCACACCCGCAAGTATCTTGCATTGATCGATAGGCAGATGCAAGTGGTGGCAGCTGCCTGGCAGAACAGGGAACTGCATCTACTTAGCATGCTATATTATTAATTAGTTGCACTAATTGCAACGGCGACATCCACACGACCACACAAACACCCACCCACCTGCCTGTTGAGCAGAGCACCTGCAATTAGCAGCATTTGCCGAGAGACGGTCACATTGCAAGACTTTGACGACAGCAACAAAATGTGGACAATGCGCGCCGGCATGTGACATGCGGCCACCACACGCATTGCACCAGCCCAGCCCGCAGCAGAGCTCAGGCAATGCCCACCTCGTAAAACCAAATCGAGTGGCGCTAAAAATAACAAAGCCTAAGCCCCAAGTGCAGACACACGGCCACAGCTGGTGGTGAGGATGGCAAGCAGAAACCGAAACAGACACAGAAATTGAAACAGAAATGGAAACAGAAATGGAAACTGAAATTAAAACAAGCCGTATTCAGTCCACTAAGCGAATCACTCTCTCTCTCTCTCTCTCTCTGTCTCTGTCTCTCTCTCTCTCATTTTCTCTCTCACGCACTCTTTCTCACACTTTGAAAGTCCCTACAGTAAAACCTCATGTACATAAAATTGGTTATTTCAAACATTTTCATTCCGTAATCATACGTTTATTTTTAGTTCTTTGTATAGCTTCATGATGTAGTACCCTTAGATATGGTAATTGCCATACTAATGCAGCCTGATTATATATAAGATGTGAATAAAACAGTACTACGACAACTAGAGACTTGAAAAAAATGTTGCCCCTTACATTTCGAAATTATTTATGGAAACGTGTGCGTTTTTTTAAAAATTGGTTCTTGGCAACATTTTGTTATTGAGCTTTCCAAAGAAATGCTTCTCTCTCGAGAATGTTTTCTGATGTTTCACAGCGTAAGACTAGTTTGCAGCCAGACAATCAATCAGACAATATTTTTTGGTCTACATTTTATTAAACATAAGTCTTATTTCACACGCAGAACAAGTTTATCGCTATCTTTTTCCACTTTCATAATACCGATAAATATCGAATATGGGCTTATCGACAATTATACGCTACTTTTGTGTTTTTAAAGATTCTTTAAGTACATTTTCTCTGTTTTCTTCTCTAAGATTTTAAAATCATCTCTTTGATTATGTTTTTCTTTTTTTTGTCTAGATGGCGAATACAAACTGTTCTTAATTACATATATTTTCTTGAACGACATCTCTTAAGCAGTTGACTGACAATCTTCAAAGAAATCTGTATTAATTTCAGTTTCGCATCTAGCGAGTTACGACTGTAACTCTCGCTGTGTACGAGCGGCGCCTGCGTTCGGCGTGCGACGTTCGGCGTGCAACATGCTCGGAGCGACGGGCTCGGGGTTCGGCGTTTGTCGAGTCGCCGGACTCAGCTCTCAGTTTGTGTTGTGTGCGCCGTGGATTCAGTTGGTTTTCGTATCTGCAACGAGTTGGATAGCAATTCGGTTGGCGCTGCTGCCGCTTCCACGCTGCGTATCTGTCTTGGACTGTGTATCTTTGATATTTAGTTAGAAATATTTAAACGATTGCCGAGTAAATAGTTAGTTAATGTCAGTTAATGCATACGAAATACAGCCACAGCACAGCACAGCAGTTGCATTGAGTTTTCCTTAGCTGAACAACTAAAACCAACTGCCTAGCTCGCCTCTGAATAGTCAACAAAGTATCTCGCAGATACTCGTAGCGCACTTTCAAGCCCAAATATCATTAAACAAATTCCAAGCGCGTGTGCACAATAACAAAAACAACAACATAATTATACAAAAATGCGCCAAGAAAATTAAAAAACAGCTTCACAAAATAAATGAAAATAAAATAAAGCAAAAGTCAAATACAAATAATAATAAAATACTCAAGAAAATACGCGACCAAAAAAATATTTGTTGTTTATTTATGTTTTGTGCTCGGCAAAACGCTGGTGTGTGTGTCTGTGTGTATCTCTGAAATCGACCTGCTGTGTGTGTGTTTGAGTTTGTGTGTGTGTGTGTGTGTGTGGCACAAAACAGCTGTTGGTGCAACAACAATAACAACAACAACTACTACTACGACGACGACATCTTGAGTACAGACGCCAAAACGAAAACAACAATAAAATTGCATATAAATTTAATTTATTTTTTAAATTAAATTTTATGCCCACGAGCGGCCCATTTTTTAAGGTAAGCCAAAACTGACCTTCATATTTCAAGTTACTCCAGTGCTTGTGGACCACAAAAACAAAAGTTATAGGAACATGAAAGCCGGTTTATATCGTGCAAAATATATATTTACGTAAATATACAAGTTGATAAATAAGTTGCCGGTTGCATTTGGAGGGAATCTTGTTGATAAGACTCAACTGATTGTTCTGCCAGTCAGAGGCGGTTGAAGATTGACAAACTGTGCGAGAGGACGAGGGAGAGAGAGAGAGAGAGAATGCGAGGATGGGAGAGGGTGACAGAAAGAGAGAGATAGACAGAGACAGAGAGAGTGTCAGAGCGAGAGAGTAAAACCTTGATAATAGATTAGACTAAATGTTCCAAGCGAAAAGTGATATAAATTTATATGATATGTAACTAATTAATAAAAATAAAAACCGTCCGTCATGATTGACTGTATAATTGACTGATTGATGATAAGCGCACAGCACAGCAGCTATCTTTGGTAGAGTGAGTCGAAGAACAATTCCATCAGCTGAAATAATATAATATATTTTCTTATGCCTACAATTTTCGAAGATTAGACTTAGTTCCCGTAAGGTTATTATCAATTATTTGATAATTTTCAAAGATTTCTCTTGTTTCACTTTTGCTTCAACTCGATCAACTTGGAGTTCGCATAACCGTGCTAATGCATAGATATTGATTCTATATATATATATAACTTTGTTGGCAGCTCGTTCACATCTTAAAGATTGTTTATATGAATTTCTTCTTATCGTTCAATCAAATATTTGTAGTTCTTCAACCAGTGTCATTGCGACTGTGCGCAGCCCTTTCTTGGTTCACTTTCACTTGATATATCCCATAAAAACTATTCCTTTGTCCTGTTTAAAGCTGTGCCCTCGGCTCATCCTCTGCCGCACATCAAGCGCATAGGGGTATTCGAGCTATTAAACGTGAATAACAAAGGAATTCGAAATCCTGTTCCTGCCATCGAGTAATTTGTGCAGTTTACGGGTCTGCGGCTAACCCACATAACTAACTAAGTTCGCAACTTGGAGACTCTTCGCCCCCCTCTCTTGCGGTCTCCCTCTGTGTCTCTGACTGGAACAGTAATAGGAACAGGAACTTTATGAATACACAACATGCACACTTTAGTTAAATAAAACGACATGAATAACAACAACAAGAATAGGCCATTTCTCATCGCATTGCGGGAAAAATCAATAAAAACGCACGCGACTAACGGCAAGCGAGCGACCCTTGTTGCCCTCTGCTGCCCGCGCCACTTGCCACTTGCCACATGCCACCAAACGCCCCTCAGCTGTGCTCCACTCCAGTCGAGTGCGTCCTGCTCCTGAAGGATGCACCAGCACTAGCAGCAGCAGCAGCAGCAGCAGGCGCCAAATTGGGATTGGGCTTTTAATTAAACGAATCACAAAACAAAAACTGAAGACAAATTAACGCGCGCCTCCTCACACAAATCGCGTTTATCAAGTGCAGTTAATGCAAGCCGGCGCCAAAGGCCTCAACCGCCCAGCCCGTAGACTCTCCAGCTAGAGTAAACCCTTGGCACCCAGTTGACTGCATTGAGGAGTCATTGCCATCAGCGAAAAGCAAAATTCAGTTAGCAGCAACAAGGGGCAAAAACAAAAAGGAGCATTTGTGGGCAGCTTTGGGCAGCCGAAGATCAAATACCCTTGCAGCCATATAAACAGAATGTTGACATACAACAAAGAGCCGAACAGGCTCAAAGGAGGCTTGCAGCTTAGGATGAATGGAAGGCTGTGGCCACGTTGACTCGGCTGGTCGTAACGATTAAGATTGTCCTTCTATTCGTTTCATTTGGTATATTGACAGAGCTAAACTACCCTCGGAAAGGGTATCATATGCTGCCCAGCGTTATTTTTGGCGCTCGCCTCTCAGCAACTCACGAGTCCCGAGAGCAGAAACCCATGGCGCAGGCGCACTGCATATTTGCTTCTCGCAACATTTTATTTGCTCTCCAAAGAACATCAAGTTGACAGTGCCTGCAACCCAATACCCCGCTCCACAGCCCACACACGCCTCCCCTTTGCCGCGGCTGCTGCAGCTTGGTTCCTGCTTCCATTGTTATTGTTGTCCTGATTTTTTGGCAAACGAATTGTGTCGTTCGTATGTATCCTTAGGATTTCCCCCAGCTACCCCCTCTGCATGCCCCTACTAAGTAATAGCAGTTGCAATTGCAATTTTGGTAGGTCTTTCTCTTTTTTAGGGGTTGAAGGGGGGCTGGCAAGGGCTTTAGCAGACAGCGACTAAAAGCGAAATGAAAATGGACATGAAAAACGAGTTTTTCATTCAACCGAAATAACATCTGCAGCTTGCATTCAGCTTTAGCCTGGCAATGGCATCAATCTGCATATACATAAATGTACACATATTGTAGCTTTGGTCTTTTCGGGGGAGATGTGGGAGGCGTGGCATGCGCCCTGTTTAATTGCTATTGACAGTTAAACTTTTAGCATTGAGCCACTTCTGTTTCTCCTCTCTTCTTTTTTTTTTTTTTATTTTTTTTTGGCAAAAAGTGAAAGTTTTCCAGTTGGGGGAAAAAGTCGGGAACTCAAATGTTGTTATTTTTATTTGCTATCGCAGAATGTAGATTAAGAGGGCGATTTTAATGATTGCAATGTTTGTATGTGTGTTGTTTGAATGTATTGAGGTTTCACTTTGCAGCTCTAGTTTTGTATAGTTTTATATGGCTATTTGCCAGGTGTCTCAATGTATGCCATTCATTAGCATATTAATCTGCTTCCATTCATTTAAAGTCAATGCAAATTATTCACTTTATGATGCATTTTTAAACAGTAAATAAGTAGCTCGAATTGATTTAACGACTTTTTTTCTATTTTGCTTTTATAGTATAAAGTTAGATAATTTAAATACTCTGAATCTGAGTGGGCTTTATTTTGGCAATGTGGAATGCTGTGTGTTGTAGGAATATTATGTGAATCTCTTGCTCTCCATTCATATATTTTACTGAGTATATCTCATTTCTTTGTAACTTATTGTTTTCGTTTTTAATCAAATGTAAATGCCTGTCTTATTGCCTATGCATTTCCTGTACTAGATAGAACTATTTGTCAGATACAACCCAGTTTATTGGGTCATTTCGAGTATAAATGAAGTCAAATCTAACCCGATTGAGAAATACTATTTATAAAACACAAGTATTGAGTGCACTCTCAGCGGACTAACAAGTGGCTGCTAGAGTTTGGTATCATATCTGAAGTGGTTGCTCTCTCGCCACTCAAGTGGGTCACATTGGAATAATATTCCTGGCTTGTATCTAGAGCGGATGTTTTTATCATAGACTGAGGCGTTTGCTCATGGACTTGGCAAACAGCTCTTTAATCCAACGCCATGCAGCAAAAAACCCCACAAAAGACCAAAAGACCATGAGCCATGGGTGAAAATCAACAAATGCACATAGCCAGCAGGGGAGGGAAGAGGGGAGAAGAAATTGAGATTGCAGTGAGAAAAGCGTGTGGGAATAAAAAGCAGAAACAACCTGGTTGGCCATAAAGCAGGAAAGTGAAAATGCAATGCAATGGCCTGTGGCTAAAGAAAAGCTTCCGCATTGTTTTCCATTGTCTTTCCTCCCTTCTCTCTCTCTCTCTCTCTCTGTCTCTCTCTTACGCTCTCTCTGACTCTCTTTTTCAGCATATGCCTCGATAATAACAATTAATCTGTAATTTTACACGGCTTTTGTCTCAATAAACCCATTGCCAATATGTCATTATGTTTGCGAAGTATACAAACTCGCATATACAATAAGATTACATGCGTATATGTTTGCATGGAATATATCTATATTTTCAATATTTATCGCCCGACGTTGTGCTGCACGTCAAGTGCATTGAACTGCAGCTGGGAGTGCAATGCTATCATCCTGGGTATTACGAGCGCAGTGTGTGCGAGTGTTTAATCACTCCCATGTTACTCGGTAAAACTTAAAACTAGACCCAAAACCCAACCTAACTGAGACAGAGAATGAGAGAGAGAGGGGGTTGAGCAGGAGGGATAGGTGATAATTGTGCCAGCGGGTCCAACTATGAACATGCAGTAGCTGGTAGCCAGTGCAGCAAGTTTTCCACTTTTATTTTCTCACATTTAAAAACATTTAACAGTTTTTCACAGCAGCTAGAGAGAAAGGGGGGGCAGAGAGATACAGAAAGAGAGAGAGAGGGAGGGAGAGAGAGAGAGGGTAATAGTTGCATGTATATTATACCTGACGTTTAGTCTGTGCAACATAATGTTTCTAGCACGGCAGCAGTTGGCGTCCGAGTCTGTTACAGAGCCAGTCAGTTATTGTACAGTGGGACACATAGCATTTGATGTGAGTTTAAATTTCAAATTAATTATGGATATATTTTTTGTATAAACTAATTTTCAAAATATTAATATCATATTATATTAATATGTAATTTAATATAGTATTAGAACTAATCGGAAATTTTAGACAAAAAAACTTTAAGTAATTTACCTAAGATTTCTTGTACATAAACAGGAGGAAAACAGAGCTATGATAAATTCACCTAGGAAAATAAATTATAACAAAGCTATTTGGAAACCTGCCTAACAAAAAGTATTCTAAGAAAATATTCCACCAATTGTCCATAGTAGCGAGTGGAATTCCCCAAAAAGTGCGCCTTGGGATTATATGCCCAATTAATCAATCAGTCATTTAGGCTCTCAGTTATTGAAGAGGAATAGTTTTCTATATAATATGACTCTGCTCTCAATAGTCAGAGCTCCTTCGTTCCCACTGTAGCTACACCCTCAAAAGTCAATTAGTTTGTAGCTCTGGCGCTTTGTCTGAACCCCTACATTATCTTCGCTGAGCATGCGATGCCAAGTCGCTAAGCTGGAGAAGCTCCAAAGCAGCTCTCCGGCTTTCCGATTCTCCGTCTCTGTGCATCTCCGTGTACATGTCTGTCAGGCAAATCTGCTTTAAATTTTTAATCGCCTGAAATGTTTGT